AAGTACAATTATATAGTTATAGATAATGGTTAACCCTAAACTTGAACAGGTTAAGAGTGTAGTGATTGGGAAAACATCCTCTTGGGAGTCGGTTCCATAGAACAGTTTTTTGTAGGAAGAAGATGCTAGAGTGGAACTTAATTCTCCCCAATGGAACAAGGAGAGAACAAGGGTGAAGTTCTTAGACATGAAAATTAGAACTGGTGGAACTAAAGAATGTAGTTCATCTAAAAACTTTCTATGGAAGTAATGATAGAGCAGTGAGGGGTTTATGACATCTCTTCTGTGAGAAGTGTTGCAGAGTAGAACATAAAGTACTCCATTTTGGGTGTGATCTCACTCTTGTAAAGTGAGAAGAAAATCACTTGCTAGCTATTTTCACAGGAAATGTTCAAACAAGCTATATTTCTTAGTTCCATCAGTTCAGACCTTTACAGCAATCACCCACATTGCCTCATACACAAAGTTAATTTAACCTCATTTCTTTCATACTCCATTAGTAAGGAGGAAGTTCCACTCAGACAGCTTCTTCCTGAGAACCACAAGAACAGACTCCTAAGAAGATATTTTCCCAATCACTACAATAACCTCTCCATATCAAAAGTCAACTATTTTCTATTTTACGAATCCCCGTAATCTGCATTTATTTTCTCCTGCAGTGTCCACACAACCTCACTCAGTAACCCTCTACCTTGAGTGGCTCTTGAGCTTTGTAATAGGTGAACATTTAGTAAAAAACTAAAATAAAACATATTCTAAAGAACAAAGACCGAAATTATGAAGAGCTTACTTTTTATGCTAACAAAGCAAGAATGAGCAAAACTTGGTGAAGATGGTTCAAGAAGCACCAGTAACCTTCAAATGTTAACCAATTCCAGGCCACCAATTGGTTTCCAGTGACATGGAAAATTAACTGGGTGGATTGCATTAGCTCCAACAGATCCAGCATTTCTAGAATTTGCTGTGTGATGACAAGTCACCAAATTAAAAACGCTAGTATTTCTATGTTACCAATTTCTCTAGTAAACTGAATTGTTTTAGACCAGATTCACCTATTAGTCTTATCCACCATTGGTGAAAAAATGAAAAAAAATTTTGAGAGTGAAATATATTTAAGTGTATCTTATATTTTTTACATGACAATTCTGCCTACCTTGACACAGTTTAAAAAAAAAAAATCAGCTATGGTTTAACCAAACAGATGTTCATGTATGCAAAAAATCTATATTAATTTCAACCTTCAATGTTTGCCCACTTAACACCATAAATCAATGAACTCATCGTATCTCATCTGCCAACAAACTGAATATCAATGTCATCTGTATTTAAGAACACTGTTATTTTCTCCCTGAAGTCAAGCTTAAACATCAGTGTTGGGAAAGACTGAGTCTCCATCTCACCCTCGGCTTGAAAAAATTCCACATGTACTACTATTGGTGGTGTTGGCATCTTAGTTCACTAACCTATAAATGCTCATGAACATTGAAGAAATTGAACCCAGAATCATCAGTGGTAACCCTATAACAACCATAATCTCCTACTATTTACTAACACACACTAGAGATGAAAAAGAGATGGCACATTTCTATGAATGTTTCTCCTCTTTTGTCAGACTAGACCCAAACCATGTCAGTGACATACACAAGTTTGCATATGATGTGTTCTCCAAAAGAAATGGGATCTTTCTTGAAGACTTTATACAGGAAAATAATCTTGTAGAAGTAAACCTTTGGAAATTATTTGTACTTTGAGTATCCTTCAAAGAATTCTTAAATCTTACTGTTAATTTCAATCAAATTTTTCAAAATTTTATTTTCTTCATTAAGTTTAAAATGTTGCCAGATTTTCAAAACTTTCTTTCGTCATTTCGTATCAAGGGAGATAACTCAAATAATTTATACTGTATTTTAACAAGATTTTTAATTTGTTTAGCAGATGATAAAAACTTGTTATTTTCTCTAAATTTTCCATATTCTTCATCTATTTTGAAATGTTTAAAAACTTTCAGTGTCTAAACAATGGTTAAATTTTATGCACAAAAAACAAGATATCCAAGAATGTTAGCAAATACAAAAATATTGGTTAATTAATTTCCATTTTGTACATTACAATCATCAAACACCAGAAAAGCGTGCTTAAAAAGTGTTTGTTAATTTGGGAACCAATAGGGCCTGTGCAAAGACATATATATAACATTATAAAATATATAATGTTTTATATGTATATAAAAAATGTTTTATATATATATATATTTTTATATATTAAAAAAACAATATTAATTATTTACAAAATTTACCTCCCTTGCAACGGGAAAAAAACCCTCTTGAATTTGATTTTGACCCTGAAACATTGCAAAACACAGTAAAATGAACAGTAAAAAAAATATTTTGAATTTAAGGAACTACATATATACATCCACAGACAATTTGACCACCTGGAAATGATCTCAGATGAAATTGAAAATAGATAAATAAAAATGTTTTGAAAGAAAATTTTGGTATTTTTTATTAATCAATATATGGCCACCAAGAAATTAATTTGTGAACTCAAAAGGATTGAAGCTAAAATAAATAGACATGGTACATAATTATTTAACCAAACCTGTTTGAATATATATATATACATACACATATGAATATATACAGGGTGCTCAGTAAAAAGTGACAAATTTATTATCATTGTTTTATTTTTCAATAAATTTCTTGAATATTCATGACCTTGAACAAAGCTACTGCCTTTCTGGTTAGTATGCTTACAACTTTGTGTTGAACATTTCAAATATCTAAGATGATTTTTCAGTTTGTGCATAAATCGTAATAGCTAAATAAATTTATTTCTGAATTTACTGGGCACCCTGTATATAAATTCCAGCTACATTCCTTTCGTGGGTCTCAGAATAAACATTATTATCATACAATATGCATCAATTACATTAAAAAATAACTGTGAAAAGAAATTAACAATTAACAACAAACTTCCTGGAAATGAAGTGGCTGAAAGTGCTTGGGACAATAGGTACTACAGACAATTTTTTCACTTCCTCACCCTGACCAAATGGAAAAATTTAAGAAAACTAGAAAAGAAATAAATAAGAAATTCATCAAAATTCATCAGGATATGAATAAATGAAAGGTTGCTCTTCAAATATATATATATATATATATATATATATATATATATATATATATATACACACGCACACACACTGGGTGTAACAGCAGAATCGTCCATTTGTTAGATTAAGCTTTGATTTGAACTCTTACATCAAAGAAATGATTAAAGATATCTTACTGGAATTCTCCAATGTTTTCATAACTATATTGGACTCTACTTTGAACAGTAAGAATGTATTTAGCTTTAAGTTGAAATGATGATCCCTCATGCTGTTATAACATTCTCTCTACTGTTCTCTCTTTTTTAAACTTAATTACCATTCTCTTGATGGTTCTTGAATGGACTTTAAGGATGGAAGCTAGGATATGAATGTTCATATATAGCTGAATGCTTGAATGATCTTTTTCCTCTTACCATTGCTCAGTTGGGAAGGCATAGTGGGGCTGACACAAAACAATTTTAACTTGTTTTCTTTCTAGCTGGATAACTTAAAGGCTTTTTCATTGATTCTTATGACAAATGGTGTCAAGATGGCTAAATATCTCATCTGAAAACCTGGAAAAAGGAAGCTCAATTAGTTTAGTGGTTTTTTTGATATTACAAATTTTGTGGGATGGACAATTATCCCATGTTGTTACACAATTTGTACAATTTTGCTGTTACATCCAGTATGTATGTGTGTATATATATATATATATATATATATATATATATATATATATATATATATATATATATATAATAAAAAACTTAAACACTAATATTTAATAAGCCTTTTTATTATATCCTTATTCTGTCCTCGACATTGAGTTCTACCTGGATTCTTCCTCCTGGAATTTTTTTCTGAAAATATACATGTATGGGTATTTATATATTTTGCATATGTATGTATATTTTCCACTAATATTATCTATCTATCTATCTATCTATTGTATATATATATATATATATATATATGCATATACGTAGGTTTTCTGAAAGTAATTCCTCTTATTTCATTTTTGGCAGTCAGGATTGAATCTTTCTGCCAATAAACTATAAGTATTTTTTTGCCTTGCCAAAATGGGGTCTTCTGACATGAAAGCTCCATATTAAGCAGATACATACCACTAAATCCAGTTGGTCATTTATCTTTGTAGTGGCATCAGTATTGTGTGTCTGGGTGGCCCTACACAATTGTCAACCCACAAAATGTTCATCACTTGTGAATATGTAATGACAATATGGAAAAATAATATTTTGTAACTGAAGACATAATCTGAGTTAAATAGAAGTAGGGAGGTTGAGATGCTCCCCAAAAATGCTAAGTCTGAGGTTGTAATTTCAAGGGGCATAAATCAGTCTTGGACATCCAACATCAGAAAATAACAGGGATGTAAATCAAAAGGGTTAAAAATTCACATCACAACGCACAACTACCCCTTTTCCTATAGAAAATTAAGCAAACCTTGGTTCAGAAAAGCTGGAGTAAGAAAACTTGTGACTGGTTATGACTAGTAGGTAAGCACAGACAGTTACCATATTTTGAGGCTTACTAAAATCGATCTGATCTTAATTTAGATTTTCTTTTTTGACAGCGCAAAGAAGAAATTCTTTTCCAAGGTAAGAGTTAATTTCTCCAGTTATTGTGTTGTCATACCTGTGTTTTAGTTTCCATAAAATTAAATAGAAGGTATTACTTTCACATTGTCTCACATATAACACACACACACAGACAAAGCAAAAAACTTAATTACTGTATATGTTATTTCTAGTTTGTTCGTAAAAAAATCCTTTGTAATATTTGATGATGAAAATATGCATTTTACAATTGTTTTCTTAATTCAAGTTTTTTTTTTTTTGAGAAACAATTTGTTGTTGATAACAATGGCTTCTTCAAAGATCATTCAATATAAAACAATATGGTTTTTGATATTTCTTTCAGCCACATCTTCAGGAGTGATCTTTTTGTCAGCTAAGCAGGCTGTGACTTGACGCAAATTGTTAGGATCCAGACAATCAGTCCTAGAAAAAAGATGCATAAAATAAATCAAACTGTCACAACGTTTTAAACAAAAACAGGCAAAGTTTAAAGAAAAAGGCCCCTCCCAAAAAATAGTCTGTTAAGGAGGACATGTTTCTCTTTACACCGTTATTGCCATATGCTCCCGTGATAATTTTCATTATTTGAAATTGCTATTTTTAGACTGTTAAGGGGTCTAATTATTTACTCAGAGTTATAACTCCCCAACACAGTGTAACTAAGTTAGTAGAATTGGTAGAATTATTGACTACAGTATAAAATAACTTATTTAGCAAATTATTTTGCTTAACTTTACATTTTTCTTTCTTTTCTTTTTATTTTTTTATTTGAGTTACTTAAGCCCCACTGACATCAGTCATATAGTTGTTTGAGACTTAGATCAATTTGAAGACTTTTGCTTATAAGCAAAATGGAGTAATACAAATATTATTTTTATTAAGATTTTATATCATCGTATTATTTTTTTTTAAATGCCATGTCATTTCAGGATGTAGGTGATTATAACTAACTGTGGTTCTACAGGAAGATGTTGAGAATACCATGAATATGTTAATAATTATTCAAGGGCACATAAAGAAGGAAGAGGAATTGGAAAATGTGACACTGACAGGACAGTGGCAAGGCAAGAGGGTCAGGGGAAAACAATACATCACCTACCTAAACGCTTAAGTAAATGGATGATGGAACAGGTTGTAGGAGAGATAATGAAAAGACAAAATTTAATAAGTACTACAAAGAACAAGAAATTGTGAAAAGCCGTGATCAACGTCCTGAATAGACATGGCAAATGGAAGAAGAAGAATTTAAGGGTGTGAAATACCTGAAGAGAGATATAAGCAGAGTGTATATTCTGTGATTGCATATGAAGAAAATTACAGACAGTCGCTCTCGGAAACGATCGGCCATGCTGACGATAAGAAAGTCGAAACAGAACGATTGATTATTGCTTTTAGTTACACAGCAAAGATGATTTCTTAATTTCTGTTTTCTGGAAGTTGTAAAGAGGCATGATTAACATCACGAAGGGACACGGCACAGAGAAGAAAACGAAATTAATGGTGTAGAACACCTGAAGGAAGATATCAGCAAAGTGTATTTTCTGTGATTGCATATGAAGAAAATTACAGCGCATTTAACTTTCCAATAAGCCCTGGATATTTAACAAGACTCAGCTCAGTGTCAAAGGAGAGGGAAAGGACTTTTATTGGGTGGATTCATTCACCAACATGTCAACCTGTTATCGACATGTTATAGGCATTGTTGGTGGATTTAATATTAAAATCTGATTTTTATTATACTTTATTCTAAAAATTAATATTGGTCGAGTTTATACACGCGCCAAAAGGTGAACATTGAGTCAAAGTATAAACATTGTACTTGGAGGGTAACTCCTTTTTGGTGGGGTTTTCATGAGACTTCATTGAAACAAAAACATGTCTGAATAGATGGGCATTCTTGGAAATGACCAGCCATACTGAAGATAAGAAAGTCAAAACAGCATGAGTGAGGGTTGCTTTTAGTTACACAGCAATTATGATTTCTTAATTTCTTTTTTCGGCCCAGTTTGATGATGACTACTTTCTTTCAAGATTGAATGTACCACTATCCCAACCACTTACAAACAACTGAGAATACCATTCAACATGTGATCAATGATAAAGTTTTAGAGAAAATGGATGGAAAAAGGATATTTATACTTAACATGAAGAAAAAACAGTTGAAATTTCAAGGGCACATAATGAAGAAAGAGAAATTGGAAAATGTGACACTGACAGGACAGTGTCAAGGTAAGAAGGCCAGGAGAAAACAATGCATCAAAGACCTAAAGAGCTTGAGTAAATAAATGGCAGAACAGGTTTTCGGAAAGAAAAAAGACAAAATTATTTACTCAGTGTTATATCCCCACTACACATATTTCTTTTATAATCTTGTAAATTGTAGTGAAAGAGATAATCAGGTACCTCGGAAAAAAAGTTTGTGTTTTTGTAAAGGATCTGCGAAGAAGGATTACCAAAAAAGTAGTCAGCAAAAAATCTTATAGCGAAGAAAACAGCGACTTATCTCGTCAATCAAACGACAGCGCGTTAAATGTATTCTGTGACGGAAAAAAAACAAGTCCGTCGCAGGGAGTCACTATAAGAGTATATTGATATGCAAATTACGGAGCATCCTATCCCAGCTGTCGACGAATGAAAAAAAATAGGTTCTGCCGATAAAAGCAGTTGGTGTTCTCGATTCGGGGAAGAAAAATTCGGCCATCTCTTGTTCAGACTTATTCCTGACCGGCTGTGTTGGGTGTTTGTGACTGTTTTTCTTGTTTTGTGGTGTGACGAGGTTGTTTGACCCACGAGAGATTTGATTCACGAACTTGCTTGACAAACTTCAACCCACATTTATTTGGCTAACATCAAGGTTGCATTTTTTTTATACTAATGTTCACCTAATACAAAACCCAAGGGCCACTCAAGGTAGAGGCTTACTGTGTGGTGCTGTATGAGCCTTCATGGGCTTCTGTAGAAAAGATAACAGTTAACTCTTTAGAGCTGAAGAGGCCAAGATTGCACCAGAATCATTGTATTAAATAACAGAACTTCAACTAATTGAGAACTTTTAACTGATAACAACAACTAAAATGGACAGCACATGTAACTTGAAGAGAAAATAATGATATAATGAAGGCATCAATGTATCACTTATGAAGCAATTAGTTAGGAAGAAAATACACCCTCAAAAGAGAGAGAGAGATAACAGTTAGTGGTCAAGATAAATCTATATTCCTGAAAAATTGTTTTAAGAGAAAATTTTTTACAAATTTTAACCAAAAGCAGTACTGGCTGCTTGGTCAATGAATAGCAAATGTTTTGTTATATGGAAACAGCAATTATTACCATTAGAGATGCGGTGAACAGATACCACACTCTGATCCCAGCCCGATGGCCAGGGAGTGAGGAAATGTGTAATTCAAGTAGTATTGTCTGGTCAGTCAATGGATGCTGAATGTTTCCTTATAAGGGGATGACTAATATTACCATTAGAGAGGAGGTGAACAGATACTACACTTTAGTCCCAGCCCAATAGCCAGGGAAAGAAGAAAAAAGTAACTTGTGTAGCACTGAATTTTTGGTCAATGAATGCTGAATGTTTTCTTAGAAGGAAATGGCTAATATTACCATTACATCAACATTTATTCTTCAAAATAAAGTCCATCATTCTCAATGATGTTCTGCCAGGAATCAGCCAGCATCTGAATCTGTTCCAGATACTAGTCAGCTTGCTTTGAATCAAAAAACTGCAAACAAACTTCCTTCACTTCATCAAAGGTGTTGAATAAATTGGTTGTGGAAGACGTGTGCCATTGAGTGAAATAGGCCTTAGTCACTCAGAGCAGCATTGGGGCTGAATGGTGGATGTATGAAGACTCCCAACACTGTCCATCTGTCTGAACTTCTCCTTAGTCAACCTGGCAGTGTTTGACCTCGTGTTGTCTTGCTGAAACAAAACCTGACCAAAGCAGAATACTCCTTGGAAATTCTACCAGACAGAGATCAAGATTTGTTGTTTTTCTGTTCGCTTCCTAAATGAGTTAGGACTTTCTGGCCAACTTAGTATTTTAAACTATTAGTTGTCAGGAGTTGTGTAAAAAAATAAAAGTAATGTTGGTTTAATAAAAACCAAGTCTAAGACTTAGTTGTAAAAGGTTATGCAGAAAAAGTCAGTTACTACTTACCACTATATGTTTTTCTTTTCTTTTTAATTATTTCACAACCAAATAAGGCAATAAAGCCACTGAGACAGAAGGGGTTATCAACCTCAAGGACACATGGCACAGTGGATAAAGGCATTGGTTAGATCCAGTGACAGACCCAAAGAAGGTGAGTTCAATTCCTGGTTAAGGCAGTGGAGAACTTTCAGAGGGAAAATTAGCAGGAGATAACTGATAACTGACATCCATCAAACATGGCACGTGGAATTAGAACAGTCTACCCCAACGATCGAAATAAAGGGTTCAGTTCGAAATTCCAACCACCTGAAGAAGGCCGGAGTGTACAATGGCCGAAACGTTGTGACAAATATGGCGACAAAGATGAGGACAATAGTCCGACTAATGTAAATACTGTACATAATACCTCATCTCAGAAATATAGACAGACAATGATGAGGACCAATAAATAATGAAGGTTGAGGGCATAACTATGAAATGTCATAATAACAACAATGATGAGAATAAATAAATAATGAAGGTTGTAAAAATATTGTGATAATAACAAAAAAGATGAAAAGAAATAAATAATCAAGGTTGGAGGGCATAACTGCTGAAATTTTGGCTGATAATTTTCCCAGTATGTAGACATTGACACCTTTCATCAGGCAACCTTAATCTTTGGCCCCTGAACCTGCCAGCTGTGTTTTGCTGAATCACAATGTTGTGATAATAACAATAATGTGAATATGAATGAAGGTTGAATAAATTGATAAAATAATAATGATGAGAATAAATAAATAATGAAGGTAGGGGGGGAGTTTGGATAATACGTTAAGACGTTGATAAAATAACAATAATGATGAATAAATAAATAATAATGAAGGTTGAGGGGATAAGTTGTTGATTTGAATAAATAAATAATGAATAAATAAATAATGAAAATAAATTGTAGGTTGTAAGGTGGACGTTGTGATAATAACAATAATGATGAGAATAAAAATAATGAAGGTTGTAGGGGGACGTTGTAATAACAATTGATGAGAATAATAAATAATGAAGGGGACGTTGACCATAAAATGAGAATAAATAAATAATGAAGGTTTCCAATGAGAAAAATAAAATAAAAATAATTGTAAACGTTGTGAAAGGTAATGAAGGTTTTTTGTTGTAAGGGGGGGACGTTGTGATAATAACAATAATGATGAGAATAAATAAATAATTTGTAGAACGTTGTGATAATAATAATAATGATGAGAATCAATAAATAATGAAGGTTGT